AGGGCTTGTGGGCCCCTCCACCAACCAGTCCAATGTCAAACTACATCTGCGGGTTTTCACAACATGGGCGGCGACTCATCGTGGCCGTTGATCTAAAATGCCGCCAATATTTCATAGGTCTTCAGATCTCGGGATTCAAAATTCGAATGCCACCATGAACTCACAATCAAATCGAAAAAAACCATATAATAAAATGTTCATTTGAACTTTTTAATTTGTACGGGTTTTTTTATTTAAAGAGTTTTATATGTGAATATTCTTCTTGTTATCTTTTTGAATTATTTATTTTTCAATAGTATTTTTTATATTAAAATATTTTCTCTATCAATGAACATGGGTGAGACTCTGAATTTCTGTAGTTTTTATTATATATATATATATATATATATTTATTTTAGTGATATAATACTTGTTCTTCGACATTTTCGACACGGGTTAGATTGTAAGAGCATCTCCCTTACCGATGTCAAATACCAAATATTAAATTTAAATTTGATTGCTGATGTGGCAATTTGATATCCTACACATTTTTACACTGCATCCGATATGTCAAATTAAACTATTATTTTATTATATTTTGGGGTTGATCACAATGCACTGTAAAATAAAATAAAATATTTTTTTGTATAAAAGGGAAATTGTGTTTGAGCACAAGTTTTTTTTTCGGGTTGAAGAAACTGAAATGAAAGAGATATATGTATAAATAAAAATTAAATGAGTAACCTACAATAAGAGGAAAAGAGTACAAGAACAAATTTGTATTTATAAATAAATTATTTAACGGTACATGAAAAAAGTTGAAAAGAGAAAGAAAGAAAACTTTTGTAACGTCAAATCATTCAAGATAAAGAAGGAAAATAATAAATAAAAAGAGATAAGTGAAGTAACAGCGCCCTGTGTCTTAAAAAATAATATAATAATAATTTGATGCTTTGCTTTTGCAACATCAAAAGTAACAAATAGGGCTTCAGTCTTCATTATACATAAGTTTTGACAATTCGATTGAAATGATGTGAGGAGTTATTTCTAGTCGTTAAATGTCTACGTGACACTTTTTATACATCGGTTGAAAATGCTATTAGACCTTTTTTTTTTCTTTTTAAATCCTAATTATCAGAATTACATTATTCATAAAAAATAAAAGATGTGGATTGACAATTTTGCAACTTATTTTCACTTCCAAACTCTTAAAGATGATTCTGCGGATTCAACAATTAAAGAGATCCAACTGGTTACCGGACCACACAAAAAAGGCATTAGTCGTCATACACTATTGCATGACGATAACATCAACCCGAATTTTCCAGAACGAACAGAATAATATAATATAACAACCTATCGCTTGAAAAAAGTTATAATTACAATAATAGAGAAAGAAATAATGGCTCTATTTTTCGTCATTTATTCAAATCAAACATAGAGCCCATCGTTGAATAAAACAGAGCCCATCACCAGTTGCAGGATAGAACCAATCATGTTGCATCTTTTTAGGGATCCGCATAGAAACAAATATATATATATATATATATAGAGTTTTCGTTAAAAGATTCCTCAAATAAATTTATTTGAGAGATACAGTTATAAGGTCCACTTTGTATTTTCGTATATTTTCGTTATTTTTGTAGAGATGATATTTGATAAATATACACAAAATAGATGGTTTGAATTAGTAAAACACAATACGAAGTGAGCCCTATAAAAGTGTCCCTTAAATAAGCTTATTTGAGAAATCACTCAATTGAAATTATATATATATTTATACTGAATGTAAATTAGGCCACTTAATCAAGACAATGTGTTCGCCTCTTGCAACAAACTCGATTCCCCTCCATCTACGTTGAAGAGAAAAAAATAATTATATATGACAATTAAATAATAACAAAAATTGAGGGCCACGCATAACAAACAAGGTGCTTAGAGTTAGGGGTAGGACCAAAATAATATCATGATTACTCGCATGACTACTTTCGGCAGGTAAAAAGAAGAAGGCCCGGAGGATAGATACTGGCCATCCGAACCCTATTATACCTGTCAATCCCGTAATGTTTATGCATGCGTTTATTTGATTGAAATATTATAGTTTACTTTTTGTTTTTATATATAAAGAGGTATATATATATAGAAATTCTTTTATGCAGACATTCGGACATTATTATCGTACGGGCGCCTTTTTTTGTACTATCCCTTCCTGCTTTCCTATATGTTTACAATAACATCCAATAACGTGCGGACATCCGGATATATATATACATGTATTAATTTGTGGCTTGGATTGTTTAAACAATTTAATAACATGACGTGCGTACACTGTGCTTTACACTTGAATGCAAGTAACGCTTATTTTTTTATGAGAGCACAAATAGTGTTTTTCCTTTTCTTTTTTATGAGAGCACAAACTTTTTTAAAGGATTGTCGTAAGACGAGTTAATTAGAATCTCATTCTTGTTCCACTATTAGTTAACCATCATTTCGGCATTATTCTTTTGCTAATTACTCTCTTAAGGTTGCCTCAACTTTTGTAGCTTTTATAATTTTCTCTGTGTTTGCTTTGCTTGGGTGACATTGATATGTACGAATCTTTTTTGCTTTCAAATCCGCCATAAAAGTTTGACACGATGAGGTGAGGTCCCCGGCCAGATGGAAGACATGCAAGGCTCCAAATTATTTTCACTACTACATTAACATCGTCATGTTCCTTGGTGGTTTAGTTACATTGAATATATCAGACGTAATGTGAGTTAGACCAGTTGAATAGGACAATGAGCTTATCCTCATGCATTCAAATTCGACTCCCTCTCATCATAATTTTTTTTATTTTTTATGAGACCATAGATTATATTACTTTAAAGTAATTTAGACCATCACTTGCAAAAAAAAAAAAAAAAAAAAAAAAGCCTAACCCTCAGTATACACTACAGTTCCGCTCTCTGGTGGTTCATTCATGTTTCGGCTCATTTTTCTTGGGCTTTGTTCCAAATGAGCTTTCCAGTTCTGGGTTTCCCAATTACTTTGAGAAACCTGGTCCAATGGGGCCTGGCATGCAAACTTTCCTTTCACCAAGGCACTGCCTATTTGTTTATTTATTATTAATTTTTACTATCAAAGCGATAAATTACTTTAAATTAAACTAGTATATAAGAAAGGAGATTCGAACATTGGTGCAAAAGAGGTAGTCCACTGCCCTGGCCAACTGGCCTAACCCACATTTGCTTTTATATTTTATTTTTAATTCAAAACATCATAAAATGACTCTTTTCCTTAAATAAATGACCTATATTTGCTTCTTTCTTTCTTTTTTTTTTTTTTTTTTTTTTTTCATGAAATTGGAATTTAAGAAATTCTTGCCACTTTTATTGAAAGAAAATGTGAAGATTAATTATGCTAAATGTGGGAACCGAATTTTAACAAAACCCAATGTCAAATATTTCATTCCATTTGGGGATTATTTGATTTGAGGATTCTTGCCTTGAATTAGGGATTTAATAATCATCAAATCCCTAATTTATTTAAATATCCTAAAATCAGGAAAAATAATTCATTTCCCAACAAGTATTTTTTTCCCCAAACCCTATCCCTAAGAGGCTCTATAAATATGAGGCTATGCAAGGCATGAGGTAAGCCATTCTAAGCTCTCAAATTACTGCAAAAATTCCCCTCCTTGCTGCCACATCTCTCTCTCTCTCTCTCTCTCTCTTACACAAGGCTCAGGCCACCATACATGGCTCCGACTACCCAGTTCTTATCTTAGAGAAATCTCCGTATCCTTTTTTAGCTATTGTTTTACCTAGATTCAATCGAACTAACTTAGGCTTCAAAGGGCCTTTGCCCAACACCCCTCGGGTGTGGTCTTTCTATTCCGATTGGTTTCGTAGGGAGAAAGAGTTCGGGGAAGGAGAAAAGGAAACCTATTGATCAAATATTCTAAGGGACGAAAATCGCTCCACAAATTGGTGCTTTAATTGAGAGCACCAATTTGTGGGAGCGATTTTCGTCCCTAAGAATATTCGTCAAACTTTGGTGTAGCCATATATTTATAGAAGCCTAGGGTTTGAGAAGAATAATTCTACAGATGGAAATGAATTATTCTTCCTCAATTTGGAGAGATTGATTTAATTAGGAATTTGATTAAAATCAAATCCCTGATTAGGGTAAGAATCAAATAATTTCTAATTTGGTCAAATTCCCAAATTTCTAGGATCCGTAGATATTTTGCTTCCACACTAAGACATGATTTTTTTTTTTGTTGATTGCATCATCTTTTGTCATTACAAAAATTATTCTTCTCACAAATATGGATTGATCAGGACAATGAGCCTACTTTCTTACATCCAAATTCGAATCTTTGTCCTTATAAATTAGATTAGTTTTTTTTCTCTGAAAAATTAGATTAGTTTGGACATCCAAATAAGAAGAATTTTTTTTAAAGAACTAATGCTATGAAAATATTTACATGAATAGATTGTTGTCGTTATCAAAAAAGAAAAGATTTAGGGTCCGTCTGATAACGTTTTCGGATAGTGTTTTTTGAGAATATTTTCAGAGAATGAAAACAAGAAAACGAATTTGTATTTTCAGGAAATGAAAATGTATCTGATAGATTAATTAGAAAACATCTTCAGAAAATAAAAACAATGAAAACGTGTCTGGTAATACAATTTGAAATAATAATATGTGAGTTATTTTTATAAAAACGTTTTCCACGACTTGTTTCCATTTTATGAAAACATTCTCAGTATTTTTCTGTGTTTGGGCCACCTAATGTGTTTTTATCTCATTTTTGTTTTCTGAAAATGAAAATAATCTCTTAAAACGTTACGGAACAGGTTGTGTCTAGCTTTAGTTGTTCACTGTTGAAAGAAGAAAAAGGACAAAGGCTGTTTCACTTGTTTTTCGTAGAGCCCAAAACGACGACGCGTGTCTCAAATGGTTGACCCCGTCTGCAAACCGACGACGAGAAAAAATATCTCCAACCAACACATCAGCCGTTCCGCAACACTCCGCATGAAAAAATCCAAATCCACCATGTTACGTTGTTTTTTCCCACACATCCAAAAAACCCCCCCCAAAAAAAAACCTCTCTCTTTCTCCGTTTCTCCGTTTCTCCGTTTGTAAATCTTTCGTTACCAAAACCCTGTTTTCCGCAACCAACCTCTTCGTTTTCGCTGCTTTCCCAAAACGTGGATCACCAGAGCTTGTCTTCCATGCCTCCTAAGCTTTAATCTCCCACAAGACAAAATACCGAAAAATTAAATTAACGAGGAGAAATTGCTTCGCTTTTGTTTTTCTTCTTTCAAAACCCTAATTTCCGACATCTGATTATCCGATTTCGATTGTGAATTAGGGTTTTTATGGAGCAGCATGACAAGGACTCGTCTGCGGTGGCCATGTCCAAGACCCCCAATTCGATCCAAAATTCGATTCAGGTTCTAAACGGGCCGTCCTTGGCCCACTCCGCCTGGTTCGAAATCCGATTGTTCTACGTCCGGGTCGCGCCGTGCGTGATCGATAGTGTCCCCGACCACCTCACGCTCCGCCACCTCCGCCGAGAAATTGGCGTATCGCTTGAAATCAACGGGGCCAAAGTTCCGGCTTCGGACTCGGCCTCGCTCACGCTCCGGCGCGATCGGGTTGACAAGGAATCGTCGGAGGTCACGTATGTGAGCACCGACAGCGTTCGGGTCACCGGCCCGGTCGAATTCGAGGTGTATGAGAACAATGACATGGTTCTGTGTGGGTCTCTGGAGCGAATGGAGGGTGTTTGGCTCAATGGAAATGCGGGGGGATTGAAGAATGATTCGAAAACGGGTTGGAGTATGGATTGCTATATGGCTGCGTCGATCAATTCGGGTTCTTCCGCGTTTTTTAGGCCGAAACTCGGACTTTCCTCGCCGTCCATCGAGGTTTATATCGCCGGATGTTGCTCCGGCGTGCCGGTCATTTTGACAAAGACGATACAGATTAGCCCGAGGCGGAAGGGCACCCGACATGCCATGCTGGATGCCATTCCAGAGGATGAGGAGGTTGGGAAGGAGCACGGCAAGAGCTGTAATGGGTTGGTTCGCCATCGGAAAGTTCAGGTATTGAAACGTTGTCATTGATTTTGCCGAAATTTGTGTTGGCTATTTTTTAATTGAACATGGTTTTGATAATTGTTCATAGTCACATTGTGATTTTGTGAGGATTTGGCCTGGTAATAGTAAAGAGTTTGTATCTCTGATGAAATTCATGTAAATTTTTGTGGCTATGGACGCACAATTAGTTGGGGCTTTCTTGCATTTGGTTATTTTAGATAGGAATATGTTTTTGCCAGTATAGCAACATGTGTAAGAGTCACTCTGTAGCCTAAGACCCTGTGTTCAACTATGCCTTTGGTTGGAATTATAATATTTTGCAGTTCTATAAGATGCTCCATGAATCCTTGTTTTTGTCAAAATATACTTATTAATATTTCTATTAAGTGGAATGATAGTGCAACCCACTATTTCAACGAGGGACTGATGCTATATCTACATTCTAGATAGATGTTGTTGATCATAAGTTTAATTTATTGCTCCAATATTTGATCCACTACTCTTTCCAAACCTGTAGGTTTATATCTAAGAAATGATTTATGGTACATAGAAAACCATCCATTCTGTGGTTTTATAGGGAAGGGAGAAGGGATTGCCTAATTTTATTTTATTATTATTTATTTTAGCTGTTGAGGTCTCTGTTGGGAAGGAAATGTTTGTTGTTTTTTGGATACCTTTCTGTGTTGGGATTTGCTTCTTCAACAAATGCAATAACCACTGCTGCAATGGAAAAGTTCCGCAAACTAGATCAATTCAGGGCTTTCTAAGTTCATTGACAGCCTAGGGCCCTTTGCTTTTTCATTCTACTTTTTATTTTTTGGTGGGACATATGCATATAAAACTTATAGTGCATTGGTGGCTTGCTTATTAGCTAGTTAGCTTCATTTCTGCAACGCATTGATCAAAAGATATGCTCTTTTTGGGGGGCTTTCCTAAAAATGTTGATTTTTGAAGCTAGTTTTGGTACTTAATTTTCCTGCCTTCATTATCACTTTGGTTAGATAACCCAGCCTTTGAACTGGAGGAAAGAAGCATAATTATCTTCTGTTGTTTTAACTTTTAACTGACTTAGAGTCCTTGATTGGGTGGGCCTATGCAGATCACAGAACCTGAAATCGATGAGTATGAGTCAGAAGGGAAAATTGGACATCATTTCTACTCTGATGACATGTACACTGGTGAAGATGGCCAACTCACATGGTTTAATGCTGGTGTTAGAGTTGGTGTTGGAATTGGCCTCGGGATGTGCCTTGGGATAGGGATTGGTGTTGGACTGCTCATGCGTTCCTATCAAGCGACTACCAGTAATTTCAGGAGGAGGTTTCTCTGAAGTGGATAATTGGGAATGCCTTTGGTGAAATCAAGGGGAAACAGGAATAATGAAATATTTAAAGATTGTGGAAGAGGAAGTGAGAACGGCATAAAATCGGTAATATAAATATGTTGAGCACGAGATTTTGTAGTTGGATTGGAAGTTTTGTACAGTTGTTTCTGTTTAATAGTTTTATGTTTACATAAAGCTTTTTCAAAGGATGCCAAAGTTCTTCATTTCACTCCTAAGGCTGGTTACTGGACCACTGAAATGTTGTTTGAATGAAACATAGACACCGTCACAGTGCGGATTTGCCTCGGTCCTTTTGAAACAGTTTAGCCTTCAGAGACAAGAAAATACAATAAAGTTTGAAGATCTGATGGAGCTGTAGGTAAAATAACATGACTTGTCTAGCGGCCGGCATAAGCTTGTATGAGGTTCGACTCTACTTTGATGAAGATGCATGTATTTGTCTATTTTTTCATATGTTGTAGAAAGTTTTGCTGTCTTTGGAGTTCGTTGGGAAGTTCATAATGTGGATGTTTTTGTAGATAGTGCACTGTTTCTTCACTTGTTTTGAATTGTAATGTTTTTTCTTTTTCTCACTCCTCTATTCTATTCAATAAAATTCAGTGCGAGCAAGCAGTGGGCATGCCGTTGATGAAGTAATGATATAATTTCCTATTGTCCTGTAGATAGATGCACATATTTTGATCTCATATGTCATTCAAGAGCAGTTCTTGTTACACAATCGCATGATCAACACTTAAACATGTAAATATGGGGAGGAGTTGTATACAACAGTTGTACGTAAATCTTTTTCGCCCCGGGTTTGTTTAATTCCACAAAAGTAACTAAGGAATTGATTTAGAGAAAGTCAATGACATTTATTGAAAATGAGATTATGCATTTATAGTTAGCAGGTGAATGCGTTCTTGTATCACCTATCCCACAAACCAAGGTTTTGTGATAACCCTCTTAGCCCCATCATGAACATGAGAAAAACTTGCATTTCTTGGTTTCATTTCATATCCTCTGTTTCTATTTCTCTTATCACGTGACTCGACTCTCATATGATATGAGAGAGACCGGAACAAATATGAAACCGTTGTGGGTAAGTAATCCATTTTTGCATACAGATACATGTAGCGTAAAATTTGGAGAACATTTATATGTCAAGTGCTAAAATGATCTATTCCCATATAGAAAACTGTTGGAACTTGCAATGACAACCATCATATTCATATTCATTCAGTTGGACCTGCCAATTGCCGAATATGTAGCAGCAGCCAAATCATAATCCTCCGCAAGCTAATATGAAACTCGTATAAAATAATAAAAACATCAAATGGAAAGCAAATATGATATATAAGGGCATATCCGCATATATTCAATATCCATAAGCCTCCATGACCATGACATTTTAAAGTGCTGCTGGCCGTGGTACGTAGAGTACTAGATACTAAAGAAGCAGAAAAAAAACCCACCTAAAAAAAGTGGGGATATGGACGGAATTATGTAAAATGACAAGGGTATGTGATGAGTAAACAGAGCGGCAGAGCCGAAGACGACTAGGGGGCACTGGATCTCAGCACTGGACACTTGAATTGAAGCTCTCAACTCTCTCCAGCAAAGCAATGGAAGCCCTCCCCAATCTTAACCCCCAGAAATGCCCAAAATTACAATCATAAACCCTAACCCGCCACCACCAACCCAAACGATGAGCGCCAGCACCGGTCTCAGATCCCCTGCGACAATCCCCCACCGTAGCAGCCCAACGACCTCACCCTCATCGCTCCCCTTGGTCGTCACTCTCAACTGCATCGATGACTTCGCCATGGAGCAAGACTCCTTGTCCGGCGTAGCCGCCGTCGAGCACGTGCCTCTCAGTCGCCTCGCCGACGGAAGGATCGAGTCGGCATCCGCCGTGCTCCTACAGTCCCTTGCCTACCTCCCGCGCGCCGCCCAGCGCCGCCTGCGGCCCTACCAGCTCATCCTCTGCCTCGGCTCCGCCGACCGCGCCGTCGATTCTGCCTTGGCCGCCGACCTCGGGCTCCGGCTTGTCCACGTAGATACATCGCGCGCCGAGGAGATCGCCGACACGGTCATGGCGCTCTTCCTGGGCTTGCTGCGCCGGACGCACATGCTCTCCCGCCACGCACTCTCGGCTTCAGGGTGGCTTGGTTCGATCCAGCCGCTGTGCCGTGGGATGAGAAGGTGTCGTGGCTTGGTTTTGGGGATTATCGGTAGATCTGCGTCGGCGAGGTCTCTGGCTACGAGGAGCTTGGCTTTCAAAATGAGTGTGCTCTATTTCGATGTTCAAGATGTAGAGGTACCATTTCGATCATATTTACCTCTCTCTCTGTCTTTCATAATTGGGTTGCAGTTGATGTTTAGTAGCTCAAAATGTGCTTCATTTTGAAGTTTGTGAATCGAATAAGGTTGAGTGGTTTAACACGGAGTATCTAAAATGTGAAATATGTAACATTTGAATGTGCCTTCATAGTTCATATTAATTTTTTCGAGAGACAATGTTCTTCTTATGCTTACTGAAGCATAGTTTGATGGAAATGTGGTAGAATTTATGTTTGTGCTGTCCTAATCTATGTTCTGAGCTTAAAATGTATTCAGATGGGAAAAAAAAGATTACATATATTCATTGTGATGTTTCAAGCTTAAAGTGCGCTTCTTTAATATTTATTTTGGGACGGATTTGGGTATGTCTTATCGGAGTAGAATGCATTACTTGTGGAAACTTAAGAAATTTTGGACTTTTTTATTGGGTGTTTTGGCTGCTGTGTAGTACTTGCTACTAGTCTCAAATTCATATGAATTCTGAAAAGTAATTTTTTTTAGTATCTTTAAATATTTTTCACTGTATATTCGTCAAAATTTAAGTGACCTGTGAACTTTATGAAACTTTAAATGGAAATAAACTTGTTTTTTCCACTTTCATTGATGGTAATTGAATAAGATTGACATTGTGTATTTTCTAGTTTCAAACTACCTTTTGCGTCTCACATTTGATTCTTAAGGTTGAATTTTTTTTTCTTTAAACTTTTTGCCTGAAACATGATATCTCAGGTGAACGGAAAAGTGAGCAGGTCTTCTATAAGCTTTCCTTCTGCAGCCCGAAGAATGGATACTCTTAATGATTTACTGGCTGCAAGTGACCTTGTCTCACTTCACTGTTCTCTGACAAATGAAACAGTTCAGATTCTCAATGCTGAATGTTTACAGCACGTAAAGCCTGGTACATTTATCTTCATTTTGGTCTGTGTTTAAGGAACTTTTTGGTCCCTTATATTTTATATTAGCGTGGAATGATATATAGTTTTCTTGTGCAGGAGCATTTCTTGTAAACACGGGGAGCAGTCAGCTATTGGATGATTGTTTTGTGAAACAGCTTTTGATTGATGGAACCTTAGCTGGGTGTGCTTTGGATGGTGCTGAAGGCCCACAATGGATGGAAGCATGGGTATGCTAACTAGTTATGGGTTATGGACTTGCAAACATAGGCTGTGTCAATTTCTGGGCAAATACATGTGCTTGATTGCTTCAGCATGCTTTTCATTATATCCACTTAGTTTAGTTCCTTTTTTGTTCCATTTCCGGAGTTGTCTCCTGCTTTCTTGTCTTGTTAAAGGGTCTGGACGGGCTCATCTAATAGCTTTGGAGCTCTAATATGTAGATCAAATTTTGATGCAAACTGTCCATGCTGACATGCAAAGTATGTGTCTGTCTGTGGATGTTTTTGTTCTAGCCTTGTACTATATCTTCTCATTGATTGCCACCTCGCCTAATTGTAGGAAGAAAAAATTGTTTCTCATCTCTTATCAGTCTTGGGTGCTTGATATCTGAATTATTGGATGTGGCTTGTGCTTATCAATGTAGAAAAATTGCATTTGCATTGTTAGCAAAACTGTCTTTGAACTGACACATGGCTCTATAGCCCTTGCTATGAAACCACATGGTGTTTGGTGGACATGCGATAACTTAGTGGCATGTGCCCTCTGAAGGGGGGAAGGGGATGGGAATTTTACTTGCTTCTGGATGATCGTATATTCTGATAGTATTTTTCTTCTTTCTTCCTCGTTGTATATTATGGCTACCCATATATGAGTGGTGCATTCCTGGAACATCAAAATTTGATATATCAGGGTGATGCTAAGATATCTTGTCATGGGTGTACTTCAGGTAAAGGAGATGCCCAATGTGTTGATTCTTCCACACAGTGCAGATTATAGTGAAGAAGTATGGTTGGAAATAAGGGAGAAAGCTATCTCCATATTGCAGTCATTCTTCTTTGATGGGATTGTTCCAAAAAATGCTGTATCAGATGAGGAGGATGAAAGTGAAATAGGTGATGAAAATGAAGGGTCAGATAAACTGGACAGAGAAAGTAGCTTGCAGCTATCCGTTGTTGAGCAACCAACTGAAGTCATTCATGCAAGTCCAGAAAGCTCTCAGAAGAAAGAAGCTAATCAATCCAAGGAGTCTCCTAGCCAGCACCAAGGTTCAGGTTTGTCTCAAAGTACTGCCACTCGATCTGATGGAAGACGAGGCAGAGCAGGTAAGAAAGCCAAAAAGAGGCACGCACATCAAAAATCCAGGCAAAAATCCGATGACCCTTCACAAGAAAAAGAAAGTACCTCGCAGCGGGAAGAAGACACGGCTATGAGTGGCACTGATCAAGCATTAAGCTCCAGCTCTCGGTTTGCCTCCCCAGAAGACTTAAGAAGTAGGAAAACTCCCATAGAATCAATGCAAGAATCTCCTTCCGACAAGCTTGTAAAATCTAGCAGGAGGCTCAGTGGAAAGCCTGGTGAGCTGTTGAAGGATGGGTATGTTGTATCTTTGTATGCAAGAGATCGTCCTGTTCTCCATGTCTCAAGGCAAAGAGTTAGAGGTGGTGGTTGGTTCCTAGATACTATGTCAAATGTAACGAAAAGAGATCCAGCAGCTCAGTTCCTCATTGTTTTAAGAAGCAAGGTTAGCATGCAAGAACTTATTTCTTTTCTTTTGGACCTAAATTGTCACATATTATGCAATCTATGTTGGTTAGTGTGACTGAATTTTTTAATTGCAATCTGATTAGCTGATATGAGAGCATTGATTTCTTATTGTAGGACACAATTGGTTTGCGATCTTTTGCTGCTGGTGGAAAGTTATTGCAGGTAATATTAGTTTACTGTGGTTGAATTCGAACTCCCTAACATTGCTTTATCAACTGTCACTCCAGGAAGTCCTTAACTTTGAATGAGATTACAAATGGATCCTAAAATGCCACAGCTCCTGTTTGGGATTAAAATCAGGTTCCATTTTAACATTGCAGATAAATAGAAGAATGGAATTTGTATTTGCCAGTCACAGTTTTGATGTCTGGGAGAGCTGGATGTTGGAAGGTTCTCTGGAGGAATGTAGGCTGGTTAACTGTAGAAATCCGTTGGTAAGTTCCTTTACTTTATTTGTGTAGTTATATTATATATGTTTTCATGATAAAGTTGGCTCCTTAAGCTTGACCAAACATGTTCCCCCACAAAAGAAGAAGAAATTTGCTCATGGTATTTTGTAGCCATAGATGATTAGATTTGATACTGTAAAAATTTGCCTCTCATTTCTGATTCCATGCTATAATTGTTATCCCATCCTGGATGTGCTAAATTGCGAGGGCTTTGTTTGGCTAGTTAAATTGAGCTTATTATTCAATGTAGAATGATTTTCTGATGATTTGTTTTATATGCCTCGATTGAACATTTTACCGTTATCAATTGCCTTGGTTAATTTTAGTGCATATATTCATTTCATGTGAAGTTCATAAAATAGTTATTATTGTTGGCAATTTCATTCCTCTCACCTTTAGAATTATTCATTGATGCCAAAAAAAAAAATGTAGGCTGTTTTGGAAGTAAGCATCGAGATTCTGGCCACCGTAGGGGAAGATGGGGTTACACGCTGGCTTGATTAGACTCGAACATGAGAGTATAAGAAGCCGAACATTATTATTCTCTTTTTATTTTTTCCCTCTTCTGAGGTTTGTATCATTTTTAAACAGCTTGAAAGTTGTAAAGTTCTTTTTTGTTATTATTTTTGGTTCCCTCCACTTCCATTTTCGGTTTTTCTGATATAATATTATGAGCTAGTAGGGAGATTTGTGTCGTGGGTTTTCAGCCTCCGGATATGAGATGCATGTATTTTATAATGTACAAGGTATAATATCCTTTGGTTTCCTCCAAGGGATGGCGGTTGTATAACTCGTTCCTCAAGGAAGTTCAAGTTTCTGTTGAGTGTTATTTTATGACCTAAATGTGCCTAAGTGCACCAATTTGCAGATTTGGGATGTGCACAAATCATTTCTACCTTCCTGTTAGAATTTCTTTGAATATGTTCAAGACTTGAACAAAACTCATGTTGAAGAGTGGAGATGTTTACCATTTACGAACGAGATCGAGTCCCCAACCTTGCAAATGTAGGGTTTTGTTTACGATTGTAATCACAACACTATCAGGTGTTCAGGTGTTCAGGTGGAATGTCATTCTAGGGGTATCCCAATCTAATCACGTACTGTGATATATTTTAATTTTGTCACGTGTTTGGAATACCGTTGTATGGAAGTTCTTTTAGGGGCGGGACCTTGGAATGCTGTACAATGCTTTTGGCAACTCTATTGTCCGAGGACCGCCAAAGAAGTAATAATGAGCCTCATAATTCAATTGAATTTCCCTTTGCAAATTGTTATAAATGCATAGCCACCAATGGCAATGACCACCTAGCTTTTCCTTTTAATTAATCATGTAGATTGCTTGGGACACTGATAATTCCAATTAAGACGTGATTACATGATTCACTTTTGATTAACTCATATTAAATTAACTAATTAGGTTTTGCTTGTTTAGTACGTGTTCTTTGACTTTGTTTTACCAAAAGGAGTGGGCCAAGATCTTCTTGATTAACAAAGCTGCTGTCGACAAACGCTAGAAGCTCCTTCCCTCCACCTTTCTGCTTTTGTTGGTAGAATATGATAATATTATTATACATTACAGATAACACTTGATGTCATTTCTTAGCCGTTTTTAATTTTTAATTGTCTTTTTACTGTTTAATTCATGTTTTAGCCGCTGAATTGTTCCAAAGTTTAAGATAGATCCAACCACAATTTATGCAGTATTCAATCTCACTGCTATGGTATTTCAATATCTCAATGAGTATAAAAAATATTTAGGATTGACAAACTTTCGTCTGACATGCGACTAAGTATGACATACAATCACTTTCTGATAATTAAATCAGAAAAAATCAAAAATGGTGTACGATACTTTTATGATTATTAGATCATCAACATTTATAGATCTGACGGTTGAGACGTGGTTGTAGTTATATGTCATACATGGTATTAGAGCTTCCAATCTCAAAATCCCTTAAACACATACCTAAAACTTGGCATTCGATGAGTTGGCATTCTTGTCTCAAAATAAGGGTATGCTCCTAAATTGGGGTTAGAGTTTTGGTATGGGTTGTCTGTGAAGTTAGAGGTCTATCCATTTTCAAATGGAATTGTAATGAATGAAAAAACTTAAAGAAAATAATGAAAAGAAAGAAAAGAAAGAAGATCAAGACAAGACTTTTCCTCATACTTGACAACCGTCAAGAACAATGACAAAGTTGGACAGTGTTGGGCCACCTTGGGGGAGAGGGACTCTTGCTCATGTCACTTACCAGAGAAAAAAATAAAGGGACTTTGGCCATGCCCTTAAACTCTGACCAATTGGATTGTCCCACGTAGCTAAAAACTTGAGGAATTTAATATTATACGGCGTTGGCACTTGCCACGTGCCCCTTCCCGTATGCCCATTGCCCAGCACATAGTCTGATACCGTATCGAAATGTCGCCACGTGTGCGGTCGTAGGTAATATTTTTAGTGTCCCTACCTAAATTAACAAAAATGTATTCATATTACAGCTAAAATAGAATAGATATAAAAATATAACAATATACTGATAATTTTGATATGGTAATTAAATTTTGTCACCTAAGGCTTTAAGGTTTTAATTATGGCAATTTAACTCTTGTAATTTGATGTATATCGCGATTGAAGGACACGTTCAAATTCCTGTTAAATTTCGTGATGGAAATTTAGGTATGATTCTTTTACTTGTTTAGGATTAAACCAAAATTGAGACGTATCTTTAAATTGTCAAAATTAAAATTACGTGGACCAAAATGGAGAAATCATCAAATTACAAGGACTGAAAGTGACCTTCTTTTTTATAAATAAATACTTAAATAGGGTGGAATGGAACTGCCAAAGGCGGTTTCATTTCTACACCACATTTTCCTACCAAAACGAAAACACCAGCACAAACCAAACTGTCAAGCAACAAAAAACCCACATTTCAGAAATCAGAGAAAAACGCCTTCACTTTGTGTGGTTTTTTTACAAAGTTAACAGCTTTGAAGGTTGAAGCTCTGAGATTATAGGCCGCTTCTTGTAGCTTATGGTGTCTGTGAACCCAAACCCAGCTCAAGGTTTTTACTTGTTCGATCCCATGAATATGGGCCTTCCGGGTCTCAATTCTATCCCACCGCCGACAGCAACTGCTACTACAGCTTCGGCCGCGACCAGTACGACGGCTTGTACTGCGTCGTCCACGCCCACCAACGCCACGTCGTTGCTGGCGGAGGATCAAAGCAAGAAGATCCGGAAACCGTATACGATTACCAAGTCCAGAGAGAGCTGGACGGAGCAAGAGCACGACAAGTTTCTCGAAGCTCTTCAGCTGTAAGCCAGCTCAATTTTATGTTATTACTGTTGTTTTTTGGGTTTATGTTTTACGAATTTGGGCTCTGTTTTGTTGCTCAAGAAAATTAGGGACAGGGTATGGAAAATATATGTAAAAGCTTGGTTTTTTTATATTTTGTTTCGCAATTTAAGAATTAAATGGAAAAGCTTTGTTTTCAAATTAAATGACTGAACGATTGGGGTTTGGAATGGTTTTTTTTGTTTTTTGGGTAATGGATTATTTCTTTTTTCTTGCATTTCTTACTAACCAAGTAGAGAATTGGAGTTTATTGTGGGTCATTCGGTTTTTGGATATTTGGTACTTATAAATATAGATAATTTGGTGGGTTTTACTAGTCAATTTACGCTAAATATATTAATTTGGCTAAGTTGGAGTTAAAAGTTTGTACCGAGGGGTGAGTTTTTTGGGTTTTGGACTAGTGGGGTAGCAACTTTCAAGTATAAGAGAAATGAGACCTTGTATATTGTGAATGTTGTTTTGTACCTTAGGCCGTATTTGAAATTAATATATCGGTTTAGTTGATCCAATTGATCGGATTAGGTTCATTTAAGTGATGAATTTATTTTATACAAGTTTCAAATCTTGAACATTTCTTTGATTTTGGAATTTCATTCTCGATACCAATTTTTTGGTAGTACTAGGTGCTTTACTTGGTTTGGTATCCAAAAAAATTGAGATACAAAAGTGGTGAGGGAAAAGAAACCCAAAAAAAAAAAGATGAGAGTAGAATAGCAGGACTTGCCTCTGTAGGTCGCCCAAAAAAAAAAAAGATGAGAGTAGAAAACTTGAATGTATGTTTAATTCTTTTCATGCAAGTCATTCCTCCTTGTTTATATTTTCTTTTCAAAAAAATTCGTCCTTGTTTATGTTTCATTCTTATTTTTGTTTACTTGGCTCAACTTAGATTTGATCGTGACTGGAAGAAGATTGAAGCTTTTGTTGGCTCAAAAACGGTTATCCAGGTGACTACTTATTGCAGTCAAACTTATCATGTATTTGCAGATAGAAAATGAACAAAAACGTAGGATAAATATAATACCTTTTTTTTTGTTATGAGGTTTTTTCATTGTCTTTTTCGGGTGTATAGGAAAGAGTCATATGGATACTGGAAGAATATCAAAACATTTTGTAGGGTTCTGCAAGAATGCCTCTTAAAAATTCATGGTTATAGCATCTATAAGTGATCATATATATCACTTACCTTTATTAGGCCCTTTATCTGCTTGGTGACTTGGTCTTATCAAATTTCTTTTGGCTCCATTTCAATTCATATATGATATACATGTCTTCACTGTACTAAAGGTAAGTGATATTCCTGTCAGATACGTAGTCATGCACAGAAGTACTTTTTAAAGGTTCAGAAGAAAGGGACAAGTGAACATGTACCTCCACCTCGACCTAAGAGGAAAGCGACTCATCCATACCCACAAAAGGCTCCAAAAAGTGGTAAGCATAGTCAACCATTGTTTTATTGGAAATTTTTCTTATGGTTTTAAAAGAATTCTTGTTCATAAGTTAATTTCTTGCAGCTGCAGTTGTATCTCAAGTTGCTGGGCAGTTTCAATCTTCATCTGCTTTGCTTGAACATGGATATGTTTACCAGCCAGATTCTTCATTTGCGCTTGGAACTCCAGTTACCAGTGCAACTTTATCTTCGTGGAGTTATAATTCTGTGCCTCCAGTCAATGTGTCGCAAATAACTAAAGGTTTCAGCTTTTCCTGCCTTGTCTTTGTGACTTATTCTTGATTGATTTAACCATAATGAGTTGTTCCTCTATTTTGTTAAAATATGATTTATTTATTTTCGTGTTATTTATTAGACGATGGAAGGTTAGCAGGGCCAACTGTTGCACATAACTCTTGCTACAGTAGTAGTAATGAAAGCAACCCAACAACTTGGCAAATGAGTGAGAAAGTTGATCGAGCAGATCCTGACCAGCCGCATAGAGGTTTAAATTCTCTCTCTTTTTTTAAAAATGTCTTTGTTATGTTTGAATTAAGAAGTTTTATTCTTGTTAAAATTATATCAACTGCTTAAGGAGGTGATATTAGAGTGTAGCCTTTGACATCTACATTCTATCCTTAGCCAGTTTCATACAGTAAGATGTTGCTTGCATGAAACTCATAATCAGTTGTAGATTCTTCTCTGGTATTGCAATGTTCATCAGCTGTCCATGACATTTGTTTCAATTATATTGGTATTAAATTTAGTTCCTGTATGTGCAGTTTTGCCAGATTTTGCTCAGGTGTACAAATTTATCGGCAGTGTGTTTGACCCCAATGCGACTAGTCATTTGGAGAGATTGAAAGAATTAGACCCCATAAATTTGGAAACAGTAAGTTGATTTTAAAATCTTTGTAACCAATTTTATTTATTTATTTGGCCATTCATGTCATTGAAAGAGTTCGCATTTAGACTCTAGTTTTAGAAGAGTTGTCTGGTCTTGCTCTAACTGCTAAGGAAGGTGCTGATTTACTC